AAAACAGTGGGTCTCATGCCTTGTCGATTGTGTGCAGTATTCCAAATACCCAGACTATAAGGGCAATGGAGCAACAGGTGCTCTCTAGTCGATTATTTTTTCGTACTTCGACATTTGTAGGATGTTGTTTTGCATAATAAAGACTCTCAAGTCAGGGAGAGAAAAAAAAACAAACAGAAAAAGATGACTGCTATTTCTCTTCTGTGTCATCTCCTTCTGTACGCGAAAACTCAGCACTAGTCCTCAACTGCTCTAACGTTATACTAAACATGGTGGAATGTTTGTCTTTTGTGACAACCAGAAGTCACCATCGCAACATAATATATACCAAAGCTTATGTGATATGCCTTGATAGTGTAATTACAAAAGAAGAAGTTTGATTTTATATGCTAGCTTTGTTTTTGTTTCCCTCCTCATTCTCTCCCTGCATAGACTTTGAAGCTTTTAAGGATGCATCAATCGTGGTTCTTTGTCTTTGACTCTTGTCTAGTTAAGGTTCTATGATAGCTTTAGTTTTTGTTGAGTTAGTAGAATTTGTAAGAAAAAAGCTTCAAATTAATCAAATGCATGTTTTAGGAGATAATATAGGTAAACGATAATTGAACTGAATAGATAGTGCATCATATATTGTCAACCAAAAACAACTGCTAATATAAATCCAAACCATATCCCAACAAGCACAGATCTCTGAAACAAAAACAGAATGCAAAATTCTGAGATGGAAGAAGGAGAAGAAGAGAGAGCTCAAAAGATTCTTTGTGGTGGTCCCATGGTGCTCTTCAAGTACAAACACCTTACCTGCAATAAGATTCAAATCAAAATGAGATTAGACAAGAGATTTAGATAGAACTTAGACATAATCATAGGAATTAGAGAGAATCATACGTTTTGCCAATTCTTCTTCAAGAGCGAGACGAGGAAGTTAACGCTCATCTGCACATTCTGGAAAAGCTGCTTCTCTTCCATTGAAAGGTTACCAACAGCAACACCCATACACAGAACCAACAGCAACACCCATACACAGAACTTTCTTCAACTGGAACTTCACTGTCGCTTTGGTCTCATTCACCTTTGCTTCCAAAGACTCTTGGTGACTCACAAGAGTTGGGAACTTTCCTGTGTATCAATCAAACACAACAACAAGAATGTTCAGACAAAGAGCTTGAAAATGAGAACCATAATAATACTCAAAACATCAAATTGTTCAATTTAGACATTGAAGAAACTTGCCTGCCTTGTTAAGACCAGGACCAAGAAGACGAGGAATCTGCTTAATGACAGATTCAGAAGCCAAGAAAGCATGGTAAGACTTAGCAAGCTTCTTAACAAGCTTCTTGTTCTTGTTAAGCTTTTTCAAAGCCTCAACATCCATGTTACTAAGTCCCATTTTCTCTGCCTATCGAAACCAAAACAAATACTTTCATCTCAATCTCCAATATAAACACAAAGAAGCAATCATTCCAAACCAAACAAGATACACAAAAGCAGAGAGATTTCATTTCAATCACCTCCTCAACATGCTGAGCATCTCCAAGCATACAGATCTTCATTTTCGGGCGAGGAATATGCGGTAGCTTCACAGATCCACTGAAACGCTTATCCTTTTGTGGGTCATAGTTCTTCAGACCAATCTGAAGTTCCACTGTCTCAACAAAGTTACGTTTTTTCTCCTCGGATTTGCCCTTGATTGTCGTAATGGCTTCTCTAAGAGCCTCACTTTGAAGCTTACTATATAACAAACAAAACCCATTTCACCAAATCAGATAAAGTAACGTACTTTAACTTATATGATTCATTAAGCAATAAGACAACTACACTAATTCTCCAAGACATCAATCTAAAGGCAACACTAAACCTAAAGCAAACAGAGATCAATCTGAAAAAATTGAAATAAGGGTAAAGGAATGATTTTTTTCACAGTACCTCATATTGAGTTTCTTCTCAGGTCACGAATCTCTGATCCTGGATACAAGAAAGCAAACAATAAGAGATCAATTAGAGAGCTAAAACAATCATTTTCGATTATGACATAGAATTCAGATAGTCAGGAGAAATCGAAAAACGTCATAGAAAAAGCTTATGGAATTACAGTGAACGAAGAAGAAAAGAGAAGTGGAGAGAGACGAACCTGAAAGGTGAAGAAAGCGGAAGCCCTAATTGTGTTACAGAGGCGGCTGAAGATTTTATATCAAGGAAGAGGAAAAATGAATGAAAGAGACTAAAACCCTAGGGGAATTGATTTCGTTCATGGGCTTCTGTTACATTAATGGGCCGCTTGTGATCATTGCTAAATAAGCCCATCTTTCCACATTTTGAAAGTTTTTTTTTTCAAAATTTTTGAATTAAAAAAATGGAGAAAATTTCTTTACGCGTGTTATTTATTTTTTTGTTGTCATCTCAAACTCAAAGATAGGTCATAAAACATGCGGAAAGGTATAATACTTGGTTAATAGAACTCTAGAATAAAACCTACGGATAACTGGATATTCTCGAAAACTAAGCTCAATTAAACATGAGACAAACGAAAAAACCTACAAAGCAAAAAGAAGCCAAAAACCCAAAAGGATTGAGCCCGAAATTGATACAAAAGAGAGCAATAACTTAATTCCAGAATCTAACACCAATTGAAAAGCCTCTACTAAAACCAATCCACTCATGAGAAAAGTTTGACATAGTGGCTAACCGAAACGGACAACTACAGTATATCCACGCGCGACAATGGAAAGCGGCTCCTCTAATAACGGATGAAGACTACCTCACCGAAAAAGAGTTCCAAAGAAACCTTGCTTGTTATTAAGTTCCACAAATTTGGATCTTTGGTTAACTAAGTCCGTTTAGAGTTTTTTTTTTTTTTTTTTTGGAACTAGTCCATTCGGGTAGGACTAATATTATTAAGCACAGTAAACATAGATGTGTTTGTTAAAATCCAAATTATAGTACATTTAGGCCATGAATAGATGCTGTTTTTTTTTTTAATTTAGTTTCTGGATTTTGTTTTTAGTTTTTGGATTTTAGATTTTTGTTTTAAAAACCCAAAAAATGGTTTTTGGTTTTTGAGAAAAATAATGTAGATGGAGTAAAGACTAGATTTCCTAAATTATAGGAGAACTAAAATCGAAAATCTTGAATAAAAGATCACAACAAAAAAGTTTTTCTAAATTGTATAGAAACCAAAATTTAAAAAACTTGATTGGTGTGAAATTAGTTTTTGAAAAACAAAAAACTAAAAACTCTTTCAAAAACTACAAAACATTCAAGGCCTTAGTGTAAGTTTTTATCAAGCAAAGACATGAACTTAATATTCCTCCAAATCTAAATTCCACTAAATCATACCAAATGTTTAGTCCAATACACCCCCCTTAGCTCACTATATGAGACTCTTAAGTTCTTATCTTATTTACATATATATATATAAGAGATTTGATTTGATCAAATTATACGCATGAGAACTTTTGATAGACAAAACCCTAGTTGGATAGCAAAATTGTCACATAACATAAGCACTTTAAAAACAGTGATTGCTGAGAAGTCTATGATAAAGTTATTCAACAATATAGGATTAATTGAAGAGATGAAAAGATCCATCAGTTCTAGCTCCCATATAAACCCAACAAACAACATTTAGGAATCATTCCAACAAATAGACACAAATTATAATGGCTTCTTCTCTTTAGATTTGTCCTTGATAGTTGCAATGGCTTCTCTTAGAGCCTCACTCTTAAGCTCCACTGTCTTCCCAACGTTACGTTTCTTCTCCTCAGATTTTCCCTCAATAGTTGTAATGGCTTCTCTAAGAGCCTCACTCTCAAGTTGTCTATATAATCAACAAACCCATTTCACTAAATTAGATCAAGCAATAATCCATTGGACAATAAGACAACTACGAACGACAATCTTAGGATAGAAATCAAAAACTATAAAGCTAGAGCAATAAGAGATCTATATGAAAGATTTTTCAAGTACCTCATCTTGAGTTTCCTCTCCTTAGATGCGAGAACGATATTTGTAATGGCTTCTCTAACAGCATCACCATTAAGCTTACTATATAACAAACAAACCCATTTCTCAATTGTATGATACATTGAGCAAAAAAAAAAATGATACGATGAGCAATAAGACAACTATGATTACTCTCTAAGCCATCAAAATTAGCAAACACTAAACTATAGCAATAGAGAGATCTATATGAAAATTGGTAGATGAGCAGGAAGAACTTTTCAAGTACCTCATCTTGAGTTTCTTCTCTTTTCACGAAAGATAACAACAATAAGACGAAACGAGAAGTGATGATGTCGAAGAGAGACGAATGTGATATGTAGAAATAATAGAATGATCAAGAAGATGCACCAATCAATATGAAGATATTCTATATTTATTATTGAGATATGTAAAGATTTGTATCTATCTTCGTTTAGGAAACCATTTCAATGTAAACATAAGTAACCCATTGCTTGTGATTGAGAGTTAATACTTAATACTAGATTTTAACCCGCGGTGTACCGCGGGATGATTTAATTTTAAAGTTAGTATAAAAATATTTTGTAAATTGTATCTCCTTATAACATATTTATTTATATTATAGTTTACAATTGTTATTAAGTAACGGTATACCACGAGTCCACGAGACAATTATTAATAAACTGAGGATTTAACCCGTATTAAAGCGGTATATAAATATTGATTCAAATTCGTCCGCCATATAAATCCTTTCCAAAATATAACCCGTTCTGTAATTTCTTAACTCGTCCCGTGATTTGTTTTTATTTTAAAATTTAATGATTATTTATTATATATAAAAGTTTACAAATCATATCATTCTCTAAGACATTTATATATTTTAATAAACTAAAGATTTAATATGTATTAAAGTGGCATGTTAATGATATTTTAAAATTTTATAAATATTGTTATTAAGTAACATTATACTACGGGATAATTTTTGGTTTTATACAATTTTTTCTAAATGAGACTGATTTAATATGTCTAATATTTGTGGTATGAAAAAAAAGGATTTAATCCGTATTGAAACGGCGGATTAATGATATTTTAATCTTTTTATTATTGTTGATTCAAAAACCCGTCCCGCCAAAAAATTTATTTATTTTATTAATTTTCTTATTTATGATATGATTCTAAATCATTATCTAAATATTTTAATCGATGTAGAACGTTGAACACACACTTTCGTCAATTGGATAATATATGTCTGTTTTTTAAATTTCGAATCATAGTATATGCTGGGAAAAAATTGATTTTTTTTTTTTACTTTATGTATTATATGATGATTCAAAACGGTTAAAAACAAATCAAACAAAGATGATAGGAGAATCATAATTATAAATTTTAATCAAATCTTCTAAATATCTAAATTATTAAATATGGAATATCCGGTGTATGAGTTGGGTTAAATATAATCCGACCCAACAAATTATTTGTGAAGGAATTTTAAAAACGGGTCGGATATCCGATATATCCGGAAGCATTTTTACCCACCCGTCACCAAAGTGTTGCAAAAATACTAGTATAGATACTATGTCCTAGACATAAATGTCTTGATAAAACGTTTGTTTTTATTTTTACTTTAGTGTAAAAACTATGATGTCACGATAAACAATACAAATGTAATGGGCCTACTGGCTGACTTTATGCATTAATACAACGTTTTGAACAATTGTTTTGGTGTAAAATCTATGATATATTTTTTTTTAATTTAAATTAAAACAAAGTACAGTTGATTTAGAAATTTGGCATGCGTTAGGTTATTATATTAGTTAACACAACTCTATATGGTATTGGAGCTGCTAATCTTTGAAGAAGCTTAACCTCACTCCACGCAGAGGTCGAAGCATTAATTTGGACGATGAGATGTATATGATCGGCCAAGACAAGAGAGAAGTAGATTTCCTTACAGACTACTCCGACCTGGTGAAGATGGTGTCTTCCCCGCAAGAGTGGCCAGCGTTCGCATTTCGCAACATACCTAGAGTCGATTCAAAGTGACAAAGAAGAATTTGAATCTTTTTCATTACTTTAGTTTCTCGTACTACAAATGTGAAAGCGGATAAAATGGCTCGAACTATTCGTACCCAACGCATCTTATCACCTATGTAAACAACATTCCTCCACCTGGACTCATCTGAGTCAATCTGTTATAGCTGTTGACCAAAAAAAAAAAAAACTCTATATGGTATCACTTTACACTGGTCTGATAGAACCACATTCATCTTATTTCGCTTGGTTTTTCAAACAATAATCTACTTTATTTGAAGATCGCCGAATGAAAGATGGCATAATATGTTTTACACTAAACTAACCATCTCATTCGTATCATTGAAATATTGATTAGAACTCGAGTGGTGTCACTTCGTTATCAGGATTCATCTAAATTAAGAACTCTCCTTCAAAGGTGGTTCCGTCCTAGACGAATTCTTTAGAGTTTATATTCAATTCTTTTTGTGCATAACATTTTCTGGTTTATCAATAAATTTAATTTGGAAAAACTGTGATTATTTGTGTTAACTCTTGAAGTTTTTGAGAAAAGATTGTATAACTAAACTTTGGATTAGTGATTTTCAGTAAATTTCCTTGGTGCTTCCGAGAAGAGAGATGAAATGAAACATTCATTTGAAACATAAACATAGATTTTTTATTATTATGTGGTTGGATAACAAAGCAAATACAGGGAGGTTCAAAGGTACTTGGCTTGAGAAATCTAACTAGGGGGAGTACTTGGTTGAAGAAATGGCCTCCATTTCGACTTGAACCTTTAACACATCGTTCACAACGAAACCCTTTGATGAATCTCTAAGGTCTGAGAAAGAGATAAACTCATGATAACCCCAAGCATGTTCATTTCCATATTCCGGACCAATGAACCAATTATCGACTACCAAACAAAAAAACAATACATTAGTCATCACGCGGATAAGATTGTATATGTATGTACACATCAATGAACATATATCCTTTACTTACGTGGCCTCTCCAAGTTATTGAGATTGCGTTGGTTAAGAACTCGAAGCTTGGCTCGAACGTAAATCTTCTCATAGGGTTTGAATTTCTCATTCACATTAAGATTAAGATACATCGACAAGGCTTTTCCCTCTCCCGTGGCACGACCATTTGGATTCACTTGTATATTCCTGATCAACATATTTAATATTTGTTACCACTTGTACTCTTTTACATAAAACAGAGCTTTTATTTTTGAAATAATGTGGACTCACCAATTTCTTACTCTGATGTAGAACATATCTGATAGGTAAATGTCTTTCAGCAGCATAGAGAATCTCTGAATGGTCCAGGTGAATCTCGGGTTATGGAAATTCTCTGTGACAGAGAAAAATTCCGATTTTTCGTAGAGAGGAGGAATGGTCACATCAACACCAAACTCGCAGTGATCTCCATCGTATAAGTATCCGTTTGTCGGGTTTTTGAATGTATCAATGGTCAGGACTTGAGAGAATCCCCACATCGTCTTGAAGACATTAAATTTCCATATATCGGTATCTAAAGTTTATATCAAAGACCGATCCATAGATAGATGTTATTATTATGCACATATTATTATTCTTGTTAAAAGATCACTTTGTTCTTGGATTAAAGTTTAGCAAAAACCTTGTATGGTCAAGTACTTCCTCTCGTTCTTGTTGAAGATATAAAACCTTAGATCCGCGTAAATCTCTTTTTGTGCAGCGATGGGGGTTGATTTATCTATAGCTACATAAAGCGAAAGGTATCCTGAACGGCTGAACCACCATCCTTCTTGTTTCCGTTGGGGTACACAACAAGTTTCCTGTAAAAATGTTGTATTTCGAGATTGATATATCAAACGATCTTTATTTTATAAAATGAAGATAAGTTTACCAACATACCAATTGTATCCACCAACGGAAAAAGGACGAGATTCGTATCCTTGTGCGTTAGCTGACTTAAGGAGCGTGTTGAAAGACTCCATCTTCATAGAGTAAGAAGATGGAGGACGATCTCTCAGACCCTTCACTACGTTTGAAGCTGTGACTTTATAATCACGTGATGAGTTCTCTTTTTTGTGTAAGTAATACGCTACATCAAAGTTTTGAATTGATCATGTTTCTACCTCTTCTGTTTTCAGACAAAGAAAATATGAATGAAATGGATCTTCTTAAATATTGAGATAAAATATAAGAGCAAAAAATTTGCATACGCTGCAGAGGTTTGTTGGAGTCATCAGTGAATTGTCGTATGAAGGAACTTGCGGACGAAGATGTGGCGAGGAGACAAAACAAGTAAGCAAGAGAGATGGTGTTTTTGTAGAAACTCGTCATGTTTTCAAGGTTATGTGAATGAAGTGGACATGATTGATGTAAGTGAGATTTATAGTAATTTGGTAGTTTAGAATCGATGGTAATAAAAAAAAAACACTTACACAATCATGACCAAGTTGAGATGGAACAAGTATCATATAGTCAAGTTGAGATTTAAAATTAGCAATGTAATGTTTTTTTAATTTCTTATGAAAATATGTTAATGAAATTTATTATAGAAATTTAGTATGGTTGATGGTAACCTCCACCATAAGAAAATATATTGATCATTTTGTCTAATTTTGACCAAATCAAATTAAAGCACGTTTTAGTGGTGAGATGGAACAACATTGTTAAGCATGTTGAGATTTAAAATTAACAATATAGTTTTTCTTATTATTTATGGTCATATGTTAATGAAATTATTGATGTAATTTAGAAGTTGATGGTAACCTCCAGTCCTCCACCATGAGAAAATCTACTGAACATAGTTGTTCCATCTCACCAAGAACTTAGTTGACTTGGTTAGGGAGAACGACCTGTGTTCCCCCCCCCTCCCACGAAGTTTCATATAAACTGAGGTCTCGAACTTTCAATTTAGGGGAAAACTGGAGTTTAACTTTCGTTTTGTGTGGACTGGAGACGAGACCCGAAATCTGTATTGTTATGGTACTATATGAAACTTCGTGGGGGGGACACATGTCGTTCTCCCACTTGGTTAAGATAAAATATTAAAGCGATCAAAAACGAATCCACTAGATCCAAATGTTCTATTTTTAATAGTTTTTTTAGTCTTTTTTTTTCTTTAACTTATTTTTACAGTTTTGTGATATTATCTGATAATAAAGTTATTATAATTGATTTATTCTCTCCAAATATGATGTAACTAACTAATTTTGGATAAATAATATATTCATGTTTACAAATTTGAAAAAATACCCTCCTCTTTTATTTCTAATTATTTTTAATATATCCTATACTATTATCTTGGGAGTACACTTTATAAGATACCCTTAACTAACCTTCCCTTTTGTAAAAATTTACTTAAGAATGCCATTAGAGATAAATTTTCAAAGAGTAAATTAATTCATCTCAGGATAAACAAGTCAATTTATACAATTTAATTAATTTAATTTAATTATAAAAACTAAAAATACATTATTATTATTTTTAAATGACCAATAAAAATGAATATATAAGATTTGATATCTACCTTACCTTATTAATTTTTTATTAATCATTATATTTCACCTCTCATCTTTATATGATTATATTATTGTGAAACAAATAAATCATCATATCATCCATATAATAATAAAAAATAGATTTTTTCCTCATATGCCATGATTTAAATTTTTAGAAAAGAATATAAATTATTCAATTTATGAAAAAAAAAAATTTAACGAATCAAAAATTTAGACTTGGATAATATATTTCTTTTAAACAAAAATAAATTCAACAAAATTCCGCCTGAATAACGGGTCAGAATTTGAGTAACTATATTCAATTTCATATATTTTTAAAAATATATAATTTTATATACTACGATAAAATTTTAAATATTTTAATTTGGAATATTTAAAAATAGTTTGACTTGATATTTAAAAACAAATATCATCAATACTTAATAAATAAAAAATTTATAAATTAGACATACACTAATTTGGTTTTCCTAAAACAAATATATTTAAAAAATATTTATAATAGACGGTGGGTTAAATATAATGTATTATATGATGGAATGAGTTATGATCCTTATAACTATTTGAATATTTATATTTAAGTTCATACAATTATTTTTTAAAAATTCTTAATTTTATATTCTACAATAAAAATTATAAAAATATTTTAATTTGGAAAATTTTTTAAATAGTTTAATATAATATTTTTAAGAATATCATAAATATTTAATAAATCAAAAGATAAAAGTTATAAATACTCTAATTTTATTTTTCAAAGCATAAATATTTAAAATATTTATAGCAAGCAGCAGGTTAAATGTAATGTATTATATGATAAAAAGAGGTATGATCTTTATAACCGAAACCATGTTAAGATTATATGATGAGATGAGTTAAATAAGGTTTGAAACCTCTAAATATTTAAAATTTTGATTCTATAAGTATATATGAATATAATGAATGATGGATTGTGCACACAATTTTTTCATTGGGATTCTAAAATAAAAATATAGGTATGCACGGGTTGAATTTAATCTTATTATATACCAAAATATGTTTATTATATACGCAATTTTTTTCACTTACTATTAACATATATCAAATACATACGTTTTATTTTTAACCAAAAACACGTAAAAAACCGTAAAAATCGAACTGTAACTAAACCGAATTACATACGGTATCTATATGGTTTCACTTTCTACAAAATGAAAAAAACGATACTAAACCGAAAAACCGTACCCCACCCCTAATATTTTCTCATCAAAAAAAATAAAATAAAATAAAAAATCCTTATATGTCATTGTATTATGTAAAGAATTATTAAAATTGTACTATAAAACAAACAATAATCCAACTTTATATAAATATTTAAAAATTAAAATTTCATCCGTGCTGGAACAGCACGGGTTATGATCTATTTAAATTACTAAAGTAGCCTCATAAAAACTAAAAAATAATTTACAAAGAAAAATCTATTTAAAGAAAAACTAATATTTTAGAAATAAAATCATTAGTTTGTGGTGATACAAATAAATGTTATTTTAAATATTATTTTATGAGAAATTACATTCACTTGACTTGAAAAAAATAAAGTCAGAGAATAGTGGCAAAATAGTAGATTTTGATGAAATAATTTATACTTCAATGTGATGAAAATACCATTCTTATTCAACGCTTTTATGTTCATCTCTCCTTTGACACCCCTTCTTTCATCTGTTTATCGCTCTCCCTAGTATTGCAATTTTTTTAAATCATATCACCAAGATCATTTCTATTTTTTTTTTCAATTTTTTTTTCTTACAAGATCTTTTTTAATTCATTTGGTAATTTGATTTTTCCATCACTAGGTTTTTTTCATATTCTCTTGATCAGAGAATCTCGCATCTCTGTATATGTATTTGCACCTAAGAATTTATCACGAGGAGAACGATGTTTCAAGATGTAATTTTCCCCGCCGATGCGTTTAGATAACTTTGAGGTCGTCACAACTCTTTATGCTATCAATGTCAATTACAACGCCATGTCTTCCAAAGACGTCTTTTCTGGAGATTGCAAAATGCATCTCGGAATCACACCGTTTCTCAAATTTTGAAGAACAAGACCCAAACTTCATCATAATATAAATCAAAATAATTATGAAACTTTTTAAAAACAATAAAATAATAAAATACTTTTCTTTTAGATTAAACCTAAATTCTAAGGGTAAAACAAACAAAAAAATATATAACAACATGTATATAATGGGGTCAAAACATAAAGAAGTACAAAAAAGTACCGATTTAGAATTTTAGGGGTTTAAACATAAAAAAATAAAAAAAACATTACAAAAATTAAAGGAACATAACACAAATTTCAAATTTTAGTGGAGTGATGTGAGTCAAATTAGACCTAAGACTACTCTCTCAAATAAGAGATCAATTGCAATACTTTAGGGTCGAAATCCACAGAGCTCTCATGTTCACACAATAGACTAACATGTTTTGAATTAAGCTAAACAGAAAATAAGAATAAAAAAATAAATAAAGCAAGTAAAATCGGTTGTAAATTCAGATGAGGAAAACGTCAGGAGCAATTAATCTACTTAACATTTTTGAAATACAAATTTGCTCTTTCCAATCGGGTCGGGTATTTTTAAAGATTTTGACCCGGATTTTTGATTTTGACCCGAATATCTGTCAATCGGATCCTTCCATATTTTGATTATTTTACCCGAAATATTTGACTCGGATCATTCCTTAATCGATACTCTCTACATTAAATCCAAACGACATTTACTCTCTGATTTTTTCAAGATATGGAGAGTATATGTAGTTATAACAAATTGATTTTCGTAAGGCAAACTGTTTCCTATTTTAATGCTACATTTATCATTTGTTTCCTACATATAATTCGATATTCATTTCACCTTATCGAAAAGGAAGTTGCTTCATAACCAAAAGATTTTATCCTAATTTGTTTAAGCATCAACCTAGCATATTCTATGTATTTCCCAATTTAAAGATTTCGAAATATATTAAATGCTTGGTCATCAAGATTTTTAAATATTCTCTAAACCCTATAACATACTAACTATCCAAACTCTATAAATAGTCGTTCATTTTCCACTCTCTAAACACATTCTTTCTCATTACCATATTGTAATATATTACAAGTTCAGAAACCTTACCAGCAACAATGGCTGTATCATTTGCTTTTTTGAGGGATATCAAAGAGTAGAAGACATGTTGAAGGTGTTCCACTTGTGGCGCCAATATTCAAGACCTGTTGAGGTTTTTTAATCTTAAAGTCAAGATTGAGTAAAAAGAATGAATTCCTACTGTGGTTCACAGTTTTAATTTGGTTTTCAGTTGCTTTGATCCATATTCTTTTATTTTGATGACTTATCGTTGTTTTAAGCATAAAACCACTCATTTCACCATTTTGTTTTCAAACAATGCAAAAACTACAAGCACTTATGTCCTATTGCTTTGGTTATCTTACTCTCAGCTACTAGAAAGTTTAAACTAACCTCTGATTGGTGCGAATAAATGATGCAAACATCTCTTCTCGATGTGTTCGCCTTATACTGAACAAAACAAGTATCCTCTGCAATAGAAAAACTTTTAAGTTTCATACTTAGAAATTACCCTAAATTATCAGTTGTATAGTATATTAGATAATAAACTCTGACCTTCTCTTTTTTGTTGATAGGAGTAGTTCAGTCATTTGAGAAAACCGTGAATATCATTGCATCTTCTATGTTCAATCCTGTACAAATCAAATACATTGGTTACCAAAAAATTAATTTTGTTATATATACTATTAGTTTATAGCCTCAGAACATTGGACATAACTTCAATGTTCTAATATGTTCTATAAATTTGTTTTAGAATTTGATATATCATTGCTTCTTCACGGGTTACGATTCTGACTATAAATGAAACTCAATTTACAGACCAATTCGTCTATCTCAGCTTAAGACATCGAATTTTAAAATTAACAGTCATGAAAGGTCAGAACTTACCAATAGATTGACCCGAAAGCAGCTAGAAATTTAAGCCTTTGAAGCAGATGGTAATCAAGATGAATTCGATACTAATCTTCAGAATCTTCAAACTGAAAGAGATTGAGTTTCCAATTTCTACCTTCAGGAGCTATTGAGAGATGTATTTCTTTTTTGCTCTTCTTTTTTTGTTTTTTTTTTTTCACGAGAGATGTATTTCTTTTTTGCTCAATCATTTTGTTTCATCCACTTTGTTTTCTTTGTTTTACAAAACAAAAATAATTATTGGGCTTGGTATATTAATTTTATGTTAACTATATTACAATTTAATAATAGAAATTATGAGCATATGTAACTTATTATTCTTTTAACATAAACCAAATTAATTCTTATGTAAACCATATAAATAAAAGAGAAAATCCTATGAGACAATAATATTGTAAATTTAAAGCGATTTTAAAACGCACAAAAAAGCTACCTAAAGAATGATCTATCAACACAAAAAACAACAAAAACTATACAAAACTAATTCTTCTGTTATTAAAATACATAAATAACAAAAATATTTAACCCGTGGTGTACCGAAATATTTAACCCGAAAGTTCCCTTCTACAAATTTTTTTTTTGTAGTTAATTTCTACAAATGTTATTACACTTAGAATATAACATATTTACATCTAATTAAAAACCGTATAGAATCAAACTTACCTTACAATAAAAAAAACATACAAACTTAATACATCAAATTCATAACAAATAATTAAACATTTTAACCCGCGGTACACCGCGGGTCATATCCTAGTTAGGAATTATTAAAGAACCGTTCTAGAACTCAAATCACTAATCTACAGCCAACCAGCTCTCGCTTGCATTGACTAACTAAACCTAATAGCAGGAAGTTCCAACTCTCGTCTATAAACTCCTAAAATTAGACTAGCATTAAAAACAGGTTTGATATGTTAACAGATATTCCTAGACCAACTCTTGTATGAATCTAGCAATTTCTGCCCACCTAAGATAGTTCTAGTAATAGACGCCCTCTCGGATCTAACCTATTATCCTAAGATCAAATTCTAGGTGATCAGACTATAACTAGCATTAAGAACAATCAAAAGTGAAGAACTCTATAGATTTTATCCTAACAGATTATCGATCTACTAATTCATCTAAATCCCTAAACCTAACAAGCAAACTACTCAGACATGGAGATTGAAACAAACAACATGATTGAATAGAATTGCATTAAGAGAATTTAAGAAAAGATTAGAGTTTAGAAAGATCTTCTCTGGAGGAGCTATCTCCAATTATCTCCCAAAGGGTTCAAGCTCCCAAGAAAAAAATAGAATGAGAGATTGAGAGATATGTTTAAAACAAAACCCTAAAAACCTATTTATATGTTCTTAAAAATGTGCAAAGACTTCTTTGAAATGGGAAAAAGTTCTGGGGCGATTCTGCAAATTTTCAAATCTTCAAAGAGACTCGAAATTGAATTGCCGTCAGATATTGGTGTCGACCGATACCAGGGGTGGTGTCGATTAACACTTGCACGAATTTTGGTCTCCAGATTGCTCTTGTAGCATAACTTCTCGGTTTTGTTCCAGAATGATCCATAATCTCCAAATTTGTCCCGAACATGCATAAACCTAAAAAAACTATAAAAGACTCTAGAAATAGCAAAAAGACTCTAAAAATCGATACATATATCATGGCTAAAATCAATAAAATCCATGATATAACATGGAGTCAGCTGACCCCCCCCTTCTAATTATTAGTGGATCCGCCCCTGCCACCAACATACTCTGCATTCCCATCATCATCACCTTTTCTGCCGCCAACATACGATCTACCACAACCATCTCCAATTTAATTCACTAACCCTCAACGTGCACCTCGATCACCTTCACAAACAACTGAAATTGAATACAAAATTTAAAAGACAAAAAGCAAGTCCTTTGATTTTAGATATTGAAATCAATATGAAGAACGTAAGACTTTTACTGTTATATCCTGAACCCAAAATGGTGGGTGTCACTCGACACCACTAATTTTGAGGTTGATCGGTGTGTTTTAATCTTTCAATTTAGTCTAAAATTAAATTAGGAAAATCCTAAGTCTCTTTTAAAAAAGACTCATCCTCTTTCTCTCCATTATTTTGTGCTTTATCGCTTTCTGAGAAGAGAGAAAAGAGAGTTTTGCTTGTTGTTGATCCAGAGAGAAAAGGGAAGGGGTTTGAGTGAGTTAGAGAGAGAAGAAAAGCTTGTTGTTGGTTAGAGCAACTCCAACCATGGAACACTAAAACACCAAATTTCAACACCAAATTTAGTGTTTTGGTGTTCCAGTTTTTTTTTTATCTCCAACCATAGACACCAAATCTTACACCAAAAACAAAACCTTTTATTATTATATTATTAAATTTAAAATTATCTTTATTTTTAATAATTTGATAAATACCATTTATTTTTAAAACTGATTTATTTTAATTTCATTAATATAAAATAACAATCGATAAATTAAAATAATAAAAAAAATATATTACATTGTGCTAATTCTCAAAATTATTTAAAACATTTGTGAAAATTATTATCTCATATTAATTTTAATTAAAAGTTCATATTATTAAAAATGTAAACAAACAAAAATATTGATAGTATACTTGTTTTTAATTGATAAATAACAATTAAACTAAATCAAAAACACAAATAAAATAATAATTTTTTTTTAGTGTTTTGTGAATAGTGCTACACCGTATTTGGTGAAACACTATTCACAAAAGAATAAAAAAAATAGAGATGCCGTCCATTATATATGGTGTCTTGTTGGAGTTGAATTATCACCAAATTTGGTGTTTTGGTGTCTCCTTGGAGATGGTCTTAGCAAGAGGAGGAGAGGCAGATCAGCGACTGTTGGGTGTGAAAAGGGTTGTTATGGTGTTGGATTCTGCTATTTCTTTTTTGTCTCGGATTAATCCTAAATCGAGGTGAGTGCGCGACCATGACTTATGATACAAGTCAAATTGAATCCTAAAGCCTACTCTCTCAAATAAGAGATCAATTGCAGCACTTAAGGGTCGAATTCCACAAAGTTCTTTTGTTCACACAATAAGTTATAAGTTTTGAAATTAGGCTAAATAAAATAATAAGAATTAAAATAAAACAAGAGCAAGCAATGATTTCAGGTGAAAAGATCAATAGATTAAAGTGTTAGGTTTAGGGAAATTCTCAGGAAATAAACTAATAGTAAATCTAGCAAATTAATTAGGATTATTTAACGAGCCGTTCTAAAACTCAAATCACTAATGAATAGCTAACCACCTCTCGATGCACTAACTAACTAATCTAATATCAGTAATTCTACCTCTCGATGCGAATTCCTAGATCTAGACTAGCATTAAACTCAAGTTTGATATGTTCACAAATTCTCCTAGACCAACTCTCGATGCATCTAGAAATATTTGCTCATCTAAGGTAGTTCCAGTAACAGGTGCCCTCTAGGATCAAATACCTATTATCCTATGATCAAGTTCTAGTTAGCTACTCTAGAACTAGCATTAAGAACAACCTAGATGAAGAACTCTATGGATTAATCCTAACAGGTAATCGATTTACTAGTTCATCTAAATCCCTAATGAGAATCCCTAAACCTAACAGGGAGATTACTCAGACATGATTAATGAAACAGAAAACATGTTGAATAAACTGTAGAATAAGAAATTAAAAGAAGAAAAGAGTTTAGAATAAATCTTCTCTCTAACAGGGTATTGAAATCTCTGGAAGTAGCTCTCTCCAATTATGTTCCAAAGGGTTCAAGCTCAGAGAATTACAAAAGCCAGAGACAAGATAATGAAATAGAAAAACCCTAAAAACTATTTATAAAGTCTCAAAAACGTGCAGGGACTAAAATTGCAAATAGGGAAGTCTTCTGGGTAAATTCTGCGGGCTTTAAAACTCTAAACCGTCGAGACTTCTTGCTGGGCTGTGTTTGGTGTCGAGCGACACTCATGCCTTCGTTCGAACCGGATTCGTCTCCTCAGCTCCAAATCCTCGGTTTAGCTCCAGAATGATTCCTTTTCTCCACTTTTGTCCTGAACGTATAAAAACCTAAAAAGACTCGAAAAGACACTAGAAATAACAAAAAAGACTCTAATACCGACACGTAAATCACAGTTAAAACTGGTAAAATCCGTGATATATCAACTTATCGAAACAAGTTGGGAAGTTTTGATGTTTTCTTTGAGTGTTATAGATTGATTGGGACGGAATAAGGGTTGATTGTTGTGTTTCTGGTCATGTATGCTTGTATCGTGCTTTGGTTCGTGTGAGTCTCGATGTGGTACAACAAGGAGCACAACCGAGAGAGGCGAGGATTGATTCCACGGTTGTAGCGGTATAGTGTCGATCGACACCAGATCCGGCTAGGAGCTTGTCAGCTTCCAAAAATTTCCCGATTTGATTGTTGATTGGTTAATGGTGTGTGTCTTGATATTCTATCTTACTTGTGTGTATATTGATGGGAGGATCGCCTCACTAAGTATTTGTGATAATACTTACGCATCTCTTTATGTACGGTGCATGTAAGGATAAGTGGTAACGTGGAATCATGGCGAGGAAGAGGGGATGATCTAGGAACTCGTTTTGGTTGCGTATTTTTATGTTATTTTTGTGGAACCTTGTTTAGAAGTTGGTAGGATTGCTTGTTATTTTTAATTATGTTGGAATATTCATTCTTAAGAAATGGAGTTGTTTGGATGGTTATTGTTTGGTTTATTGGTAGATTTAATTAAGTATTTATGGAGATATTTAATTATGATGTGATATATCAATATAATTATTATATATATATTAATAAACATTGATATATAAATTATAACATATATATCACGTGAAAACAATAGTAATTGAATACTACGATATATATCCATGCATCAGGATATATATTAACAAATCTTGTTATAGTCTTACATATTTGGTTAGATATTAACATATCAAATTATATATTATGATATGAGATAAAATGACATGTCTTATAAGATGACATGCCTCATAACTTTTTATCAACTTTTTGCAGGTTTTTGTTTGTAGATAAACGTTTATTTTTTTTAACTCATAGGTATTTTGGTTATCTTTCTATTTCTTTTCTTTGGTCTTT